AGTGGTCTGGCCCATACTGACAGGGCTGCTGGGTTGAGGGAGGTTCTGAAGGAAGTTTGGGTCTCGGTACTCTGACAAGTCAATTCTGCGGCCAAGACTCGGGCGTGGTTCCTCACATGTGGTCTGATGTCTGTACATTGCAAGAAGGCTTTCGCCTACATTCTTCCAACTGAGATGCAAAAACAACAGTTGTAGATGACACTGTTAAACCACAAACAATAGGTTCACAAAACTGAGGTCAGAAAACAATTAGTTCAAAATCAGTGGACCAAAAATGTCAGTGTAGTATATCCTGTTATTTGTATGCATTGCATGAGTATAATAATAATAATAATTATTAATAATATTAATTTCATAGCCGGTACATCCTCAAAAAAACAAATAATACATGCTCAAATCTTAACTGTTATTCTCACAAGTGACAAGCAATTTTCAAATTAAACTACAGAGACAGCAAAACTAAACAGTTCACAGAGACACAGCAGCACAGAACTCACGAGAGGCAGCGGATGGGCTGAATCAGGACAAGGTCAGGTTTTGGTTCACAGTGAGAGAGAGCCTGTCTGCGCTTCCGTATCTCCAGTGCCTCTTCCACAATGGATTGGCGTTCCTCTTTCTCCACTTCCACATAATTAATAGACATATCACTGCAAATGACCCACCACAGCAAAGAGAGTTGTCAATGAAGTGAAAGAATAGAGCTGCAGCACATTCTAAACAAATGGAGGAATAAAACGTGACCTGGCTTCACCATTTAATGAACATCTGCATCGTGTCCCTTTTCAGACAAGGCTGCTCCTCAAAGATCTTCTCCTTCAACACCAGGCCTTTAGTGTAACAATGATCCTTCTCTAGGGCTTTGGCGATGAAGTACAAACAACCTAGGGAAAATATTGCAGGTGACTTTTCTTTCATACTTGAGCTCCTGCACTGTATAAGAGAGAGTATACAGAGCTAAGTGCTTATGATGATGTATAACATACAGGTGTAGTCACTGAGTGTGTAGAGAATAGTTATGAGGTTGTCCAGGCAGGGCCAGTGGTCTGGATTACAGTGCAATCCCTCCTCAAAGGCATGTCGCGCCAGAGGAATGCGCACCAGTCGCACAGCCACTTGACCAATTTTGTACCACATGTTCACGTCAGTGGAATCCAATATAACTGCCTAAGAACAGAGCAGAAAATATGGTATGAACACTCACCCTAGTGTTGACACACAACTAGCTGCACAAAGCGGTACAACCCCAACAATGATAACCCATTAAACTGGCACCATTTTATCATTTTACCTCCAAATAAAACTCCATAGCAGTGTCCAGGTCTTCCCGCATTGCAGACATAGTAGCCAAGTTTTTAAAAGTAGAATATTTTAACATCAGTCCTGGATGCTTGAGACCCACTCTCTGATCATCCGAGGGCATGGCCTAAAATATCGGAGCATAAATCAAATCTGGCACCAAAGACATGTAAAGCAGATTCATCTAAATTTTGGCTTCTTTAAATTCTTCGACGAGAATGTTGGCACAACATTGTAGAGAGAAAAAAAGATGAGAATTTTCTTTTTAACAGTACTACAAAAGATGAATGAAGACATCCAGCACCCCTTAACAAGAATCAAACATGTAACTTCACAAGTGAAGACTATTTCAGCACCAATTCCTTAAACCTGTTCAGCGAAAACAAAATGGTTGAATGTAATGTATGAAATATCTTAATCATGAATACTTAAGAGTATTTTAATTGCTCTGGATTAGATTGTTACTATGAAGGCAAATTAGGTCATTTCACAGCATAAAGCCTGGTCATGTCTGGATATCATGCAGATTAGGTCTGTACCAAAACAAAAAGTGATAGTGCTCGCTGACTAAATGTGTAGATGTGTAGGTGTATGGTTGTGATTAATCTAGAGTATAACACTGGTGTCACTTACTTCACAGATGCACCAAATTTTAACCATAACACCAAATTTTTTTTTTTATATGCTGTGTGGCATTTTACCTCTTTGAGCAGTGGAGTTTTGAGAAGCTCATGATAGGCTTTAGCAGACTCCTCAAACTTGTCATGCTTTTGCAGATCTAAAGCTTTGTGATATAAAGCAAATGCCTCAGCTTCCTGTGGAGATAAATAAAAGGGGGGGGGGGGGGGGGAATCAGACAACTTACTTAGATTTACAGAGCAAAACGTCTGCATCAGCGGGTTGGGCTGAATGTTGATTCATCAGCAAATAGTCTGTACCTGAGCCTCTTTTGTCCGACTCTTGTTGCTTCGCAAAGGGTCTTGAGACTCATCTGCAGCTGTCGAAGCAGCATTCAGTGCTGCTATGCGAATCTGTAAAGTAGTAAGAGGCAAACTCCTTTAGCAAGCAGATATACACCACAAGAGGGGGAGGTAGTAAGAGGAGAATATTCTGCACAATCACAAGGTGTTTTGATACAAAACAGCTATAGAGGATGCACTCTAAGAATTACAAGGCTTACCATTTTAATACGTGGAAAGCAGACCTTCACGACGTGCAGCTTTTGATCGGTACTACAGAAATATAAGGAAACCGAGCAAAGAGAGAGAGATAAAAGCAGAATTAGACAAAGTTACCATGTTGTAATGTTGTAGGTCTCATCACCAGACAAACCCTCGCTTGTTTTATCTTCAACAGCCTCTCTATCGTTCATTCAGCTTGTGTAATGCTGACTGTGCCCGACAGCTTCTCGGCTAGGCAGATGTTATCATTTGACACAATAGGCTAATCGAGAGGGGCTTGGGACCGACTAGCTTCTCTTACCAAAATGCCACTCAAAACGTAACGTTAGCCTCGTTAGCTTGGCTCTGCGGTGGGGCATTGCCGCGGTTTGTCCTGTGAAAGTAGTTATTTAGCTTCACTGGTGAATAACACAACCAGGACTCCCTGACAGCAGGTGGTAAATATATCTTCGTGATACCTAACAGCTTATGTTCCTGCCCCAGCTAACGCTAGCTGATATTAGCAAACACGTTAGCTATATGGGCTAATGTTAGCTAACGTTATGGTTTCACCGGGTCACCAACACTTGAAAATCTGTGCGACTTACCGTTCATTGCCGTTTAAACTGCATTTGTAACGTTGCTACAACTACAGCAAGGCAGTGAACTCTAAATCAACACTGCGGTCATGAGTGGACATGAAGCACAAAGCAAGTTTGAAACTTCATTTATTCATCATCCTCCGCTGTTGTAAACGTTAGAAGCGTTTGCGTCGCTGCATGACGTACACCCGCCAATTAGTAAAGTCGTCACTCATTGGTCAATACAGTGTGGGTGTATTCAAGGGACCAATCATATGGTGAAACCCACACCATCAACACACACACACACACACACACGTACATATACAACACTGACCACAAATGCTTTCAAGTTAGTCATTGCAAAAAACAAAACAAAAAGTAATATAGACTGAATTAGCTGTTTTCAAACCTGTCAACATTATGTTGTCACAGTTTAAAGAACAGATATTAGTCTATGTTTATTTGTGTAGGCTATGTATGGAAAGACACCTTACCACATATGGCTATTGATGCACAATGGTGGTCTAATCAGCAGCCTGTATAGTCATTACATTACATTTAATCATTTGAGATACAAATGAGTAAAGATCTACAAGTGACAATAGACATAGTAAGAGCAGCAATAAATACTAGTAAGCGCTAATAGCACGTATGGCATCAATGGGGTAAATACCTAGGGATAGAAGTAAAAGTTAACAAAATAGTGCTGTCAAAAGAGGGGGCAGGGCAGCATTCACTGTTCAAAAGGGTGTTTTCTGCAACCTTGTTCTGTCAATTCATAAAGACAGAAGGTTTTCCCCCGATAAACAAAAAGCTGTAAACATTTTAAACAACATTTTCAACCACGCCACTACATATGTTATCGCTACATCAGGGGTTTTTAAAGTCTGAGACTTTGCTTTATTTAGTTTGCTTGGTTTTGCTAATATACAGCCCAGTATTGCTGTTTAACATAACTTCAGACAACACCAAATACATAAAGGTCTGTCCTAAGGCATTTATTAGTTTCTGACTCTGAGGAAAAAAAACATTCCTCAAAACTAGCTTAATGTATCTGTGAACTATCTCTTTAACCATCTCGCATACATTATCAATGTGATCTCCTTTTGATAATGCAATACTTTTTCACTTCCATTCACTGAACCCCCGCCCCCCGAAACTGTTTGGTCAGGCCTGCCTCCCACTTTGAAAACCCTTGGCCTACACTATTTCCACTGCTAGGCACAACCCTGCTATTGTCTCAGAGAAAATGGATTTAATAAAAAGGCTGTGCAGTTTATTTAGAGGAAAATGAGGGAATAAAATAGACCATATAATGACAGGGAAGGGTACACAATAATTTCTAATAGGCTACATCAGCGTATTCCCTCTTAAACATTATAGTCAGCGTTTGTAATGTGTAACCTGCATGGTAAACTGGCAGCCACTAGAGGGCAAAACCTTTTCTTTTTTTTTCACAGGACTTTCTAAACTGTTTGATCTTCAGCTGATTTGCTTTGCATTGCCTTATTGTCAAATTTAATTGTGATACTTAGAGCAAAATAAAATGGTCATTAATATTCGAACACAGCAGACAGATGATGCAAAACAGTGCAAAGCAGAGTCATCATTTACAAAATGTGGCTTTTCTCCCCTCATCCGTCAGTATTTCAACAGTTTCTGTTACATGACAGACACATTATGTCTTTTTCAGGATTTATGGTAGCAAATAGTAACGACTTCTGCAGTTATTAGGAGTAACAGTATACTGTCCTCAGTGACCCTGTCTGTTGCAGTCTCTTGTTGCTCTGCCTCTTTCCCTGCCTCCTCCACCCCCCACACTCATCCTCACCCCACCTCATCTCTCCCTTGGCTGAGACTGGCTGGCTGGCAGCATTATCAATTCCTTCTGTCAGCATGCCTGCAGAAAATAGCTTACGTCACAGTCATTACTGGCTCTATAAAAGCCAGGGTAATGCAGATTCACTGGTGCAGTCAACCCAGTTCTTAGACATAGAGCAGCCTTCTTTTTCAAAACATGACTTCCTTCGGCTTTGACCCTTACTTCCCTTCTACTTACAAGAAGAGAGTAGCTGTGCGCAGTGCAGGATACGGAGCTGGTGGAGGAATAGGATCTAGGTATGCCTACTCCAGCCACTCTGCCCCAATAACTTCCTATGCATCTTCACGCAGAAGTTATCCAACACACACCCGAGCTACTTCCAGCTACTCCTCTGTGCTTTCTGCTCCAGTGTCTGCAGCTGCTACTGAGCTACGCCTTGACCAAGCAGCCCAGGTCAGCTCTGAGTTCAAATCAATAAGGACCAAGGAGAAGGCTGAGCTGCAGGAACTGAATGATCGCTTTGCAAGCTTCATTGAGAGGGTCCATGAACTGGAGCAGCAGAACAAGTTGCTGGATACTGAACTCCTGCTGCTCAGGCAGAGGCAAACAGAGCCATCCAACCTTCGGGCCCTGTATGAGCATGAGATCCGCCAGCTCCAAGCTGCTGTAGAAGAGGCCCGCCATGAGAGGCAAGCAGCCCAGGACCACAGGGATGAGATGGAGGATGTGTTGAGAAACCTGCAAAAGCGCTATGAGGACGAAGTGCTCGGCAGACAGGAAGCAGAGGGCAGACTCATGGATGCCAGGAAGGGAGCAGATGAAGCTGCACTGGGCCGGGCTGAGCTTGAGAAAAGAGTTGGGACCCTGCTGGATGAGATGGCCTTTCTGAAGCGCCTCTGTATGAGTGAGATTGCTGAGCTGCAGGCCCAAATACAGTACAGCGCAGAGGTGTTTGTGGAGATGGAGGTTGCCAAACCCGACCTATCCGCTTCTCTACGTGACATCAGAGTCCAGTATGAGAAGCTTGCCCAACAAAACCTTCAATCAGCCGAAGAATGGTTCTGCAACAAGATGAATGTGATGACAGCAGGCACTACTCGCAACACAGAGAGTGTACGTAATGCCAAAGATGAGGCTGGAGAATACCGTCGGCTCCTCAGTGCCAGGATGCTGGAGATTGATGCCTGCCGTGAGATGAATCAAGCCCTGGAAAACCAACTACAGGAAGTAGAGGAGAAACAGAGTGCAGAAATCTCCGCACTGCAGGTGAGGAACAGAAACACACTGACATAAAGGAGCAGGGCTGCATATATCTCTATGTCCTTTCCATGACAAAAGTCATATTGAGAAGAGTCTGACTGCCAGTGTGGCCTGTTATTGAGCATACAGTGATACCCCACAGTGATACCCCACAGATTATCTGAGATACAATCTGCATCCAGCCCATAATTTGCCATTAACATGTAACTTTTCTATGTCTGTTCTATGAAGGATACAATAAGTCAACTGGAGGAAGAGTTGAGGGCCAACAAGAATGACATGGCTCGCTACTTGAAAGATTATCAGGACCTCTTGAATGTGAAGATGGCCTTGGAAATTGAAATTGCAGCCTACAGGTGAGTGTCTTACACATAATCTTTTCAGTGTTTTGTATATTGTGTTGTAATTGTGGGATTTAAATGAATGCCACCAACACCAATAAGTTAGCATCCCATTTTCTTTCCATTTGTGTCTTATTCTGTTAGGAAGCTCCTTGAAGGAGAAGAGAACCGTTTCAATGTGGTGAGACTGGGGTCTGTCACTGCTTACTCCCAGGCCATGTACGCTCCTCCATCTTACGGAAGAACACAGGTCTCCATGCAGTCTCAGCTGAGCTCTGCAGCTCCGTATCTGCTGAGCTCCCGCTTGTATACTTCATCACTGTCCACAGAGGAGACAGTATCCGCAAGCCAAGCACAGCAGGCGGAGGCCAGCCCTCCTAAAGAGGAGGAGGAAGAGCAGGAAGAAGAGGAAGAGAAGGAGGACGAAGAGGAGCAGCAGGGAGAAGAGAAGGAGGGTGAGGAAGAGGGAGAAGAGGGGGGGGAAGAGGAGGATGCGGAGGTAGAAGAAAAGGAGAAAGAAGAACCATTAGAGGAAGAGGAAGAAGCAGATGGTGAAGGTTAGTGTGGTAATTTTTTTTTCATTGATATGTGCATGTGTGAATTAGTAAATTAAATCTAACCATAACCATTCCTCACATGGTTCTGGAAATGAAGAGGGTGAGGCAGAGGATGGAGAAAAAGAAGATGAGGAAGAAGGAGGAGAGGAGAGCCAACCTCAAGAAGAGGAGGACGCTGAGCAGAAAGAGGAAGAGGGTGATGGTGCGGGTGAGAAGGGGGAGGAAGAAACTGAAAAACAAGAGGAGGTGGAGTCTGAGGAGAAAAATGGGGAAAAATAAAAAAGTTTAAATTTAAATGCTTTAAAACTACCTGCTAGCATTGTAGCTGAAGGATGTCTTCTCTGGTGCTCTACATGTACAGAGATATATCTCTAATTCAGACCAAATAAAAATCTATTGAAATCAGAAGACAACATGTTGATGAACAAAATATTCTGTGTGATCAACTTGAGAACTTGAGTGACCCGCAGCATGAATATGCACACTGTACAAGCAAAGAAATGAAACAATATAAAAGCAAATCAATAAATTGATGAAGACAGGATGTGACAAATGTCTGGAGTAGAAATTCTGCTTTGTGAAGATTTGTTTGCAAACACCTGTGTGCTTTACTCTCACCGATACATGCCTGTACAATTGTCTGAATGTGCAATACCCAGTCTGAAATGCCTTACTTCAAGTCCTCACTGAGTGCTTTAAATCCATGCTGTGCTGCATTGAACTCCAATAAAGCCTTGACACCTTGACAACATAGTGCTGGCCCCAGGCTTTTCATTTGTACTTATGAAAAGGAACAGTTGCAATGAAGTGTCAAATCAAAAACATTTAACACAAATAAACGCATTAGCAGAAAATCATATTCCATGTCCAAGCTCTGTGACTCACTTTCATGAGCAAGGATAGATAGTTTTACTTGCTAATTAGCAGTGGGCTCCTTTTTCATTCAGGCTTTAAAAACAAAATGTTCTTTTCTCGCCTGAATGTTAATGGAGGTTAATGGAAAAACTACATAGATGGCAGCCAAACAGCTAATGTTTCTATACATATTAATAAATCAGTCCACAATTGATTGGAGGGAGGGCTGCAGTAACAGCATCACAGTAGCAAACTGGCTAGGTCAGCGAGTTGTTTTAGGTTCTTTCACCAAAAGACACCATGCTGAGGCCTTTCAAATGAAAATGCATTAAAAAGAGTTATTAAACAAAAACATCACAGTATATCAGACCATATTAAGCTTCACATTTTCAATGATCTGCCAGTAAAGCCTCATTAAAATTCTCTCTACTTGGCTAAACCAAAGCCTAGTATATAAAGAAATGAGTTGGAGTGGCGTTTTTGTCTTTATCTCAAGTCAGCAGGTCGTCTCCGTCCTCGTGTGCCTACAGTCTCTGTGTGATCAGTGAGCTGACACCGGCGTTTTTTTCCTGCTGCCTCACCCTCATCCACATCACTGTCCATAAATCAGAGCGTACTGAAACCTTTATGACTCAGCTAGTCTGCTGCACCAAAGAATCTGGCCAAGTGTCAACTCACGCAGGACAGCAAGAGAGAGAAGAATTTCATTATTTCAGTGGGGGTGAGAGAGACGGAGAGGGAGAGGAAGAATGGAAATATCTCACTGCATTAAACCTTGACAGAGGACACACAGCAAAGAGGTTGAGAGAAAAGGGGCTTCCTTTAGGCATCTGCAGAGATGCAATCCCTGTCAAACAAATTAACCCCAAACACGCACACACCTTTGTCTTCTCTTCTCACACACATTTGGACACACACTAGATGTGGAGCAGGAGCCTCTGTTTGATGTTTCTGAAACACACTTTGAAATATTTCATCACTTTATAATTGCAAGACATGCAAATAACTTCACTTTTTGTACATGTAGTACACGTTCTGGCCGATCTTGATCGTGTCAAAGCGATGCCCCAAACCGTCTCCCTCTCCTCTCCCTCTCCATCCTCATTGTCCTCAGTTTACCCCGCCCTGAGCTAAACTACATCCACCTCCTCCTTCTGTTGCTCTCGGTTGCTACAGTCAGATTAGATCCAGTCCAAAGGAGCACTCACTTTAATCATTAGAAATTCCACTTTGCAATGAATTTGGCTCTGCTTACACACCACTTTCACCAAGGAGATGGGAATGAAATGTTTTCTTATTGATTAAAACTACACCAATAATTTGCTTCTGGCTGGATTTTAATATCTAGCCTGCAAACAGAATGCTGAAGTTGAGATAGTGCTCATCACAATAGATACAGTAAACCACCAGCAGGATATAGATACTCCCTCAGGTGCTCATATGTATCACTTGTGTTGTATACAGCAAGGAGAGGCTTGCAAGGGTGTGTGTGCGTGTACAGTGTGTTGGTGAGTCGAAGGGCATGGTGGGACACAGATCCCCTGTAATGCAGCATATCAAAGCAAAGCTGTGTTATTTTTATTACATTTCATCTTTCAGATATTGAGTTTCATCCCTTGCTTCATCTGTCACATTTGGGCTATGAGCGGGCTGGTGTATAAATCTTATAACTCCCGCTCCCTCTTGTGGGCATACACTGTGTCAGAGAGAGGGAGGCCCATCAACGAGACCTCCCAGACGTACGATCCTTTTGATGAAAAACAAAGAGCTGAAGGTGCAGCAGCCAGCAGGAGACATCGGCAGCAGCTAGTTTCCTCTGAAAAGGTAAAAAAAAGAAAAAAAGAAGTAGTATTGTACAGTTACCCCAAAATAGATTTTACTGTTTTCAACATAAAACTTTCTGAGTTCAGGATAATGATAACTTCAAAAGTTAGTAACTTACTCTACACATCTAAACAGCTTCACGCAACACAGCAGCTTTCCATTACAGGAAATGCATATTGCATTTCAGGAGGATATACAATACAGTAATACACTGTTTATGAGTCAATATCAGAAATCTAATCTGAGTACCAGCAGCACTGGTTGTTATTTGCCTTTGTACTCAAGCCCACATGATAACCTTTAATTTAGCAACCAAACTGATGTTGCTGCACTGCAGTGTGCCCAGACGTGGGCCCCTACAATAGAAACACATAGTTCACATTCAGTTTTTTCACATTGACAGAAGCACTTGTCCTGATTATGTTTTTTAAATTGCATTTGGGTGTGCACTCCCCTCTCAGACGGCTCAGGACCCGGTCCAGACAGTGAGGGTGGTCACGTTGCAGTCTGCCTTTTTGGTTGTCACACAGCCGCGCTTTGTCTCCACAAAGAAAAGGAAGTCTTAGATAAGAGTTGTGGCTCCCTCTGCTGATCTCGGAGAATCACCTAATTAAAAGGCTCTGTCGAAACGAGACTTCACATTGGCCTGGAAGACAGCAGACTGAGACTATTTCATTAAAAGATGTGGCACTCTAAAAATAGATACTCGCTTCTCCTGGCACACACATATCTGCAGTTTTCAGATGGCCTTATGTACAAAGAATGCTTCACTGAGTCAGATGGAGACACATAGAGTAGCCTTAGGGCACATCCTTTCTCATGCATCACAACCTGGAAATGAGATGTTGGACTTGTAGATATAAATGTGCTCAACCTAACTTTAAACTGGCTCTGTATTCACGAGCATTAACACTACATATTTCCTGCAGTCATGTCTGTGTTTATTCAGGCTGGGCTGCAGATGAAACCTTTAAATGCAAAATAACACTGGCCGGCCTGTACCTTTCATAACGTTGAAAGATCTGTCACAAGCAGACTAAATGCACAGGAAATCATGAAGGTGTCAATATCAAGTACAGAAAAATATTTACAGCTTGCATTATTACAAAGTGACCATGACCATATGTTTTATGTAACATTCTGTAAGAATATAAAAGTTTGCATATACTGTACCCCAACCAAAAGTCAACTGCAAAGCAACTTGTGCACAGATAATGCATTGACCTATCGGCTACAGCACTGCAGGACCGGGCTGTTGCCTGATTCTGCTGCCAGACAGCCAGGTGGATTTTAAGGCCCAATTTGCCTCTGGCGTCATGTGGTCCTGGCAGTGGACCCAAAAATCCATTAGGCCTTTTGTCTGCTTTTGTCTCAGGAATTGAACACCTCAGTAGGGGCTACTACCAGTGAGAAGTCACTGAAGCACTGTATTTGCTCACATCACAGAAATCACAGTTCACTGAATCTACTAGTGTCAGCCATTGAATAGCATTGGAGTCAAGCCAGGTCAAGCTTTGTATTTAAAATATACATTTCATGCATATGGATGTGCTTTATCCCATAAATATAACACACACACACACGACTTCAAGCATGCACACAAACACTAATCAAATGTTCTAGTGTTGGAAGGTAGATGGTAGATAGGGAGCATATGTAATATTCTTTCAACTGTCTGTCGTGCTAAATGTTCATTCACAACATGTCCGTTTGACAGCACACTGAGAAGCCCTTAGGCAAAGTAAATATACAGGATACCCTTGTTTCAGGATAAAAAAATAATTGTTTTTTAATCCACAATAACTACAGCACACTCAGTCTTTATGTTGAGCTGTTCTGGCTCTGTATCCCCATATGCACCTGTTTCCATTTACCTCACACATCTGCACACGGTTGTATGATAGATATGTTTTTATTCATCACTAAAATGCTGCACCTAATCAGGGTATTTTAACAGATGTATGTCACGATCTGATCTAATTTAGACAATGAGGGTATCTCCTGTGAAGACTCAGCCCGGCTACTCCTATTGCATAAAAAGCATTGACCTCCAGATAAACTCTGGAGTTCAACTACTTGGCAAGCTGTCACACACACTAATGCAAGACATGCACGCACGCACGCACGCACACACACACGCACGCACACGCACACACGCACACACACACACACACACACACACACACACATACACATACACATACACACACACACACAGGCCAGCACACCACCATCTGAATTGAATGATTACTCTTTAATGTTTCTGTTGGAGTTAAGCAATAGTTACATGGTAGCAGATTTTTAAAATACAATGCCACGACAAAAACTAACACAATCTTGAGGTTTTGTCAGTCTACTGTATGCAATAGCACACAGCAGTCAGGTGATGGCAACATTGTCTTCCTTTTTACAGATTTGATTGTTTTTTTAAACTTTTGATAGCCCAAAAGCAACTCTTCAGGTTTGATAACAAATGTGGGAGATTTTTTTCCAAAGGAATGAGGAGAATCAGAGGTGAAAAGGGCATGAGCAGATTTAAAGTCTCCTTGCAATAAATTCAAATACTCAGCGAGTACCTACAGCTCAGCCTGAAATAGGTCACAGCTCAAATGATAACCTTCTACGTATAGCTGCAAAATACATCTCTCTTACTTTCCAATTTTCTGTAGTTGTGTAATATTTGTTAAACCTACAGTAGAAAGAAAATTAACTTCTGTGTCTGAAAAAAGAAAGCAATTGTACATCAACTGTGCAACTTTGCTTCAGTATTATACAGTGAAAAAACGATTCAAAAATGTTATTATCTAAAGGTATCATTTAAAAAAAAAAAGTTTTCTTTTTTATAATTTTGGCCAGTAAAAAGCCTCTCATAATGCTATTTGGCAATTGCCATATGCTCAATAGCTTTATCCGTTGCAAAATAATAAGATTCAATAATAGCTTTCAATCCAACTGTGTTGTGTTGGTACTAATTCACCACAAGCTGTGTTTTAAAGCTGCCACATCACAATAGATGGGAAATAAATGGACATAACCCTGTCAAGGGGAACAACAAAAGCATTGGATGGCTGAAC